GCGTGCCTTTTCCCCGACGCGCGGGTGAGCAAGAGGGAGAAGGGAGGAGGGGGCAGGAGGGGGGACGACGACGACGACAGCGACGACGACGACGTCGATGATGATGATGATGATGATGATGATGATGATGATGATGATGATGATGAGGATGATGAGGATGATGGTCATGATGCTGATGCTGATGATGATGATGATGACGATGACGATCATTCTGATGATGCTGATGTTGATGATGCTGCTGCTGATAAGGATGATGGTGATGATGATGCTGATGATGCTGCTGCTGATGATGCTTATGCTGATGCTGAGGCTGATGATGATGACGATGATGGTGTTGCTGATGATGATGCTGATGATGATGCTGATGCTGCTGCTGATGATAATGATGCTGTTGATGACGATGATCTTGCTTGCGATGCTGAGTGTGATGATGATGACGATGAGGATGATACTGATGCCGATGATGCTGATGCTGATGATGATGATGGTGATGATGCTACTGATGATGATGCTGATGATTATGATATCGATGGATCATAATGGTAATGATGATGATGATGATTCTGATGGTGAGGATTCTGCTGATGATGCTGATGATGATGCTGATGCTGGGGCTGCTGATGATGATGATGGTGATGATGATGATGATGATGATGATGCTGATGATGCTGATGATGCCGATGATGATTAAGCTGATGCTGATGATGCTGATGCTGCTGCTGATGATGATGCTGCTGATGATGATTATTATGCTGATGCTGATGCTGATAATGATGATGATGATGATGATGATGATGATGATGACGAGGATGATCATGACGACGATGATGATGATGATGATGATGATGATGATGATGATGATGATGATGATGATGATGATGATGATGATGATGATGATGATGATGATTATGATGACGATGATGATGATTCTATAGGCTTACGCCACATCCGCCGACCCCTTTTTTTCCGCGTGGTCGTTATCACGGCTTCTTTGCAAGCTGCGGGAAAGATTCAGGTGGTGACCTTGAACTGTGTTCGGGTGCTGCTGGGCGGGCCGTCGCGCATGGGCGCCGTTTGGGGGGCCCTGTCGCGGGGGGTATCAGGCATGCACGGGGTGTTTGGGGGTTCTCTCCGAGGGTTCCGTGGTCGTCCTTGGGGCTTTTCGGGTGGTGGAGTCGGGGCAGTACGTTGCACGCCGGTGACATCTCAAGGGTGTCGGCGGATGCCGTCCGGGAGTACTGTGGGTTATCATGGTCGGAGTCTTTCGGGTAGTGTGTTGCCAGGTGACGAGGATGGTCCTGCTGACGCGACGGCGACCATGACGACGCTGGTGATGCTGCTGATGATGACGATGATGACGGCGTTAATGACAATGGCGACGACGATGGGGAAGATGATGGTGATAATGATGGTGGTGGTGATGATGATGATGGGGAGGATGAAGATGAGGGTGAGGATGAGGATGAGGATGACGAGGAAGAGAAAGAGGAGGAGGGAGGAGGAGGAGGAGGAAGAGCAGCAGGATGAGGAGGAGGAGTAGGGGGGAGGGAGGAGGAGGAGGAAGAGGAGGAGGAGGAGGAGGAACGATGATGAGGTGGAGGAGGAGGAGGGGGAGGAGGGATGAGCAGGAGGCAAAGATTGACAGTGTGGGTCACGGGCCCCCGCGTCCGAGGACGCAGGTGCGAGCTCACTCTTTCTCTTGGGGCGGATGCGGAGGATGAGGAGGAGAAGTCGGGTTAAAATGGAGCCCCGGACTTGTCCGCGGGTCCCTTCAAGTAGTTTTTGTCTCCGGGTCGATTTTCGGCGGTCTCGGGCCCCGAACCCGGGCTCGAGGGGTTCAAAACGCCGAGGGGCTCTCGAAGCAGCTGCATCTCGGGGGCTCGAGGAGTGCAGTTTTGAAGCCACTGGGGGGCCGTTTCGGGGCTTCTGGGGGACTTCCACGAAGGCGCTGCAGCGCGTCGGGCAGCGCGCGAATGCTGTGGACAGTGGGGAGGAACAAAGCAGGATACGGAGACGACGGGGGAGGAGAAGGAGGAGGAGGAGGAAAAGAAGGGGTAGGAGGAAGAGGAGGACGAGGACAAGTGAGGATCTTGTCGTGGATCCTGAGAGGGATATTTCTCGAATGGCCCGAGGCGCGTCCCGCGAATCCCGCTGCCGTGCCGGGGTTGTGAGTCTGAGGCCAGTGGAATATTATTTGGGATCTCGTGGTCGGCCTCTCGGAGACCTCAAGTGGCACCGACCAAGTGCCACGCGAGGTGCGTCGTCCGTGTGCCTCAAATGGTTCCGCCCGCACTTTGGAGGCCCTTTGGGAGCTATTTTGGGCCTCTTGGGTGCTTCTTTTGGGCCTCTTGGGGCCTGCTTGGGGCCTCTTGGGGGCTTCTTGGGGGCCTCTTGGGGGACCTCTCGGGGCTTCCCGGGGGCGCCTGGGGGCCGAAGCCTCGAAATGAGATTCCCCCCCCCTCTTGGCCCCCTCTTGGGCCCGTCTTGGGGCCCTCTTGGG